GAGAGAGAAAAGGCTCTAGAACAGGAGAGGCTGGAAAAAGAACGAATAGAGAGAGAAAAGGCTCTTGAACAGGAGAGAGAACGAATCAGGAGAGAAAAAGCTTTAGAACAAGAGAGGCTGGAAAAGAAAAGAATTGAGAGAGAAAAGGCCCTAGAACAAGCAAGGCTGGAAAAAGAACGAATCAAGAGAGAAAAGGCCCTAGAACAAGAGAGGCTGGAAAAAGAACGAATCGAGAGAGAAAAGACGCTAGAACAGGAGAGGCTGGAAAAGGTGAGGATTGAGAGGGAGAAAGCACTGGAACAAGAGAGAAAAGACAGGGAAAGACGAGAGAGGGGCAAAATGGAGAAGTTAGAGAGGGAGGCAACTTTGGAACGAGAAAAGATGGAGAAAGAAAAAGCTGAGAAGGAGAAAAAAGAACAGATGGAAAGAGAAAAGACTCTCGAGCAGGAGAAACGTGATAAAGCCAAGACATTGGAGAAGGAAAGAAAGGAGAAGGAGAGAACGTTAGAGCTAGAAAAAGGAAGCGCTCTTGAACAACAAAGACTGGAGAAGAAGAAAGCAAAGCAGAAAGAAGAAGAACGAGAAAGGGCCCTGGAGGAGGATAAAGAGAAGTCAAATATAGCTGAAAAGAACAAGGGGGTTCTCCCCCTATCCAAATGTGGACGTGAAGTCCCTCCCCAGCCAACCCCTTCTCCACTTTCCAAAAAAACAACTCACAAATCCTCAACAGAGCCAGGACAGGAACATGTCTATGATCCAGTGTCCCAGACTAAAGTCCACACAGCAGAGTCTGATAAAATCCCTCTGTCTCCTCACTCGTCATTTAAGAAGTTCAGGTTTTTTAGGGACTCCCCCATACATCCCAAGTCCTCCACTTCGTTGGTTATTAAGCGACCTCGTACTTTCTCTGATAGCCCCCAGTCCCAGACCTCACATGTCACTTCACCTACCTGTGTTGGGGAGCGAGGATCCTCTACTAAGCAGGAAGAGCCACAGATTGGAACAAACCAGGAAGTTGGTGCTGCGACAGTAAGACCTACAGAGGCCCAGTCTAAGAAAATCACTGAAACATTAGCTCAGGACCAGAGTCCTACAGAAGAAAGAGCAAAAGGCTTTGTTTTGGAGAACAATCAGAAGGCCTCACCCCAGATGGAAGCATCCTTCAAGGAGTTCATCAAAAGTTCAAAAGAACTGGAAGAAAGCAAGGAGTCTCCAGGCCCAGTAGATGGTTCAGAACAGAGGGAACAAGATTCAAAAAAGCCAGAGAAACTAGCACGACAAAGGTCATCGTCGAATGAGTCATCGTCTTCAGAATCAGATTCTGGGTCTTCATCATCTCAATCGTCTGGATCATCCACATCTTCTCAAGATAAAACCTCTTCCTCCTCCAGAGGTAGAGAGGTAAGCAAAGTAATTTAGACTTTTTCTCCTTGTGCAACAGAAAATGTGTGCAGTAGGGGTGCACCGATAAATCGGCCGGCCAATTTATCGGCCCCGGTTTCCTTAATTTTGGAAAATTGGCCGATACTTGCATGAGAAACCGATTTTACCGATTTTTTTTCTTCTTAGTTTTAACAACAATTGTTGAAACAATTTATATTTCAGAGCACTACCTCATGACCAGTTAAAACAAGTTTGTATTGTTTCTAGGATATTGTTCAAGGGTATGTTTTTCAATAAAATAATATTGGAAAATTGAAGGTGCATTGTGACCTTACAACATCTGACAGTGTCGCTTATAAAACAAAATCTGAATCGGCCAAAATTGGAATGTCAAGACCTTTTAGAAATCGGTGATAGGTGATCGGCCAGAAAACTGCAATCGGTGCACCCCTAGTGTGCAGCTTTTTGTATTTGCACGCAGTTTGGTGACTGTATCTCAAGCATGTTGGTCATCGTTTTGGCTTACCGTAATTATTGGGCGTTAGAACGCACCTGTCTCTAAGCTGCACTTATTGGATATAAGATAAATCATAATTTTGTACATACACGTAAATGAGCCGCTCCAGTTATTGAGCTGCAGGCATCCACCGTTCGTCAGGATCTGTGCCCCCAACTTGCTCTGGGTGTGTGCAGCTTTCTTCTTGTAGTACAAGAATCAGCCAGTAAATGGTGTTTCACAGAATGTAGCTTGCTTTCAACACGCTCAGACTGCAAGATCGTCATCAGTATCCATGAAGCTTCGCTGTCTGACCCATGGTTACAACCATTATACTTTCAAAATGAACACAATAACTAACTAAGCATAATCACTGGACAGAACAGTGTCAAACACCCACGTAACTGAAATTATTTTAAAATTATTTACTGGTAAATATTACCAAGAAGTCTTATTGAGGTCATGTGACCGGAAGTCAAATAGTACCGGTAGAACGCGATAAATATTCATTAAATTAGTACCATGATTTTTATTGTTAAACACTTTTGGTAACGGCTGCTGTTTTTAAATGTACTTTCTAAATAAATTTGACGTGATTTCTGCTCAGCTGAGCCCGCAAGAGGAGGAGAGGAGGGGGAAGAGCCCTCCCATTCGTTGTCTCTGCTCCATGTTCGGATGTGAGCTTAAATGAGATACCGGTATTTAAACACATATTTACTATACACAGAAAGATGTCACACAGAGAGAATTTTAAACCTTTTATTAAAATATGTACCAGATTAGACTGTTTTAAAAATAAATTTTGATAATTTCTGCTCAGCGGAGCCACGTGACCCAGAGGGGAACAGACAGTAAATGTATTTTTCTGAAAATTACCTTTAACACAGGTGAAATTTTAAAAAGTACCGTAGTCGACCAAAAGGCACTCATCTCTATGTTCTTCCTCCTGTGCACCAAAGTCCTCTTCTTCAGTGTCAGAATTGAAGAGGCTCAGAAAAACATCAAATCGATCGCTTTTCACTTGAAAGCTGCATCATAAGAAATTCTTCGTGCGTTTTCCATTATCACTGCAGATGAACAGGTCTGTGCATGAGGCGCAAAATACAGTAACGATCTAAAGAAATTAATGCACGTCTGTCTTTGGGGATGTGTCCTCGTAATTCAAAAACCGTACCTCATTGGTGATTAAGGTTAGACTTCTGGTCACATGATGACAGAGTGGGTGGCGTTATGGGTAGGTAAATTGAAACCCTGAGCAAGAGGTTTGGTACATGTGATTACCTGAGGTATTCACTGTGTGTTGCCCGCCCTCAAGAGGGGTGGGTTTTGGGCAGCTATACAGCACCCAGCTCTGTCAAAGGAGAATGTTATTCAGCGGCTGGAAGCCGCTTCATATAATCCCTGTTGTCTAAAGTGTGAGAAAAAAGTAGTGGCTTCTACACCAGCAGTTAAGGTAATGTTTTTTTTCTGACGAGGACTGCTGTGATTTACAGAGTCCAGATACATTTTTTAGACCGAGTACAAGTACTTCAGTTTGGGTACTTGCCAGTACTGAGTAGTTAATGAGTTGGCACTTAAACAGTACACAACTTCCATCCATCCATCCATTTTCTTCCGCTTATCCAGGGTCGGGTCGCGGGGGTAGCAGCCTAAGTAGGGAGGCCCAGACTTCCCTCTCCCCAGCCACTTGGGCCAGCTCTTCCGGGGGAATCCCGAGGCGTTCCCAGGCCAGCCGAGAAACATAGTCCCTCCAGCGTGTCCTGGGTCTTCCTCTGGGCCTCCTTCCGGTGGGACGTGTCCGGAACACCTCACCAGGGAGGCGTCCAGAAGGCATCCTAAACAGATGCCCAAGCCACCTCAACTGGCTCCTCTCGACGTGGAGAAGCAGCGGCTCTACTCCGAGTCCCTCCCGGATGATCGAGCTTCTCACCCTGTCTCTAAGGGAGAGCCCAGACACCCTGCGGAGAAAACTCATTTCGGCCGCTTGTATCCGAGATCTCATTCTTTCGGTCACAACCCGAAGCTCGTGACCATAGATGAGGGTGGGAACGTAGATCGATCGGTAAATTGAGAGCTTCGCCTTTTGACTCAGCTCTCACTTCACCACGACAGACCTGTACAGCGCCCGCTTCACTGCAGACGCTGCACCTATCCGCCTATCGATCTCACGCTCCATTTTTCCCTCATTCGTGAACAAGACCCCAAGATACTTGAACTCCTCCACTTGGGGCAGGACCTCCTCCCTGACCCGGAGAGGGCACTCTACCCTTTTCCGGCTCAAGACCGTGGCCTCGGATTTGGAGGAACTGATCTTCATCCCGGCCGCATCGCATTCGGCTGCGAACTGCTCCAGCGAAAGCTGTAGATCACGATCTGATGAAGCCAATAAGACCACATCATCTGCAAAAAGCAGAGACGCAATCCTAAGGCCACCAAAACGGATCCCCTCAACACCTTGGCTGCGCCTAGAAATTCTGTCCATAAAAGTTATGAACAGAATCGGTGACAAAGGGCAACCTTGGCGGAGTCCAACTCTCACCGGGAACAAGCCCGACTTACTGCCGGCGATGCGGACCAGGCTCTGACACCGGTCATACAAGGACCTAACAGCCCGTATCAAAGGGCCCGGTACCCCATACTCCCAGAGTACCCCCCACAGGGCCCCCCACAGGGCCCCCCGAGGGACGCGGTCGAACGCCTTCTCCAAGTCCAAAAAGCACATGTAGACTGGTTGGGCAAACTCCCATGCACCCTCCAGGACCCTGCTGAGAGTGTAGAGCTGGTCCAGTGTTCCACGGCCAGGACGAAAACCGCACTGTTCCTCCTGAATCCGAGGTTCGACTATCCGACGGACCCTCCTCTCCAGAACCCCCGAATAGACCTTACCAGGGAGGCTTAAGAGCGTGATTCCCCTGTAGTTGGAACACACTCTACGGTCCCCCTTTTGAATAGGGGGACCACCACCCCGGTCTGCCAATCCAGGGGAACTTCCCACGATGTCCACGCAATATTGCAGAGTCGCGTAAGCCAACACAACCCTACAACATCCAGAGCCTTAAGGAACTCGGCGGATCTCATCCACCCCTGGGGCCCTGCCACCGAGGAGCTTTTTAACCACCTCGGTGACCTCAGCACCAGAGATTGGAGGGCCCGACCCAGAGTCCCCAGGCTCCGCTTCCTCAGTGGAAGACGTGCCGGTGGGATTGAGGAGGTCTTCAAAGTATTCCGCCCACCGACCCACAACATCCCGAGTTGAGGTCAGCAGCACACCACTCCCACTATAAACAGTGTTGGTGGCGTACCGCTTTCCCCCCCTGAGACGCCGGATGGTGGACCAGAATCGTCTCGAAGCCGTGCGGAAGTCGTTCTCCATGGCCTCTCCGAACTCCTCCCATGCCCGAGTTTTTGCCTCAGCAACCACCCGAACCACATGTCGCTTGGACTGCCGGTACCCATCAGCTGCTTCCGGGGTCCCACAGGCCAAAAAGGCCCGATAGGACTCCTTCTTCAGCCTGACAGCATCCCTCACCGACGGTGTCCACCATCGGGTTCGAGGGTTGCCGCCGCGACAGGCACCGACAACCTTGCGGCCGCAGCTCTGGTAAGCCGCCTCGACAATAGAGGCACGAAACATGGTCCACTCAGACTCAATGTCCCCCACCTCCCTCTGAACATGTTCAAAGTTCTCCCGGAGGTGGGAGTTGAAACTCTGTCTCACAGGAGACTCTGCCAGACGTTCCCAGCAAACCCTCACAATACGTTTGGGTCTGCCAGGTCTGACCGGCATCCTCCCCCACCATCGGAGCCAACTCACCACCAGGTAGTGATCAGTTGACAGCTCCGCCCCTCTCTTCACCCGAGTGTCCAAGACATGTGGCCGCAGATCAGATGAGACGATGACAAAGTCGATCATCGAACTGCGGCCTAGGGTGTCCTGGTGCCAAGAGCACATATGGACACCCTTATGCTTGAACAAGGTGTTCGTTATTGACAATCCATGATGAGCACAGAAGTCCAACAACAAACAGAACACCACTCTGGTTCAGATCAGGGGGGCCGTTCCTCCCAACCACACCCCTCCAGGTCTCATTGTCATTGCCCACATGAGCATTGAAGTCCCTCAGCAGAACAAGGGAAGAAGAAGGTGCCCAGAAGGTGCACTTTCCAGTACCCCCTCCAATGACTCCAGAAAGGGTGGATAATCTGAACTGCCGTTTGGTGCATAGGCACAAACGACAGTCAGAACTTGTCCCCCCACACGTAGGCGGAGGGAGGCCACCCTCTCATTCACCGGGGTGAACCCCAATACACAGGCACCAAGTTGGGGGGCAATAAGTACGCCCACGCCTGCTCGGCACCTCTCACCAGGGGCAACTCCAGAGTGGAAGAGTGTCCAGCCCCTCTCAGTACACAACTTTAGTAACATTTTTTGGGAACACAGAAAACGGTCTTCTGTTTATCTTAAAATATCTCTAAACTCATTTTGTAATTTTTGTCCTCAATAACTCGCAAAGTGGAAGAGGAAATTATTTCACCTAGCCAAAAACAAAAAAAAGTTTATTACAAAGTATTGGGGTACAAAGTACAAAATATTGGGGTGTTTTTGTGAGTGCAAGTACAAGAACTTGAGGCTGGTATCTGGCCTGATGCCAGTATCTGGACATCTCTAGCTATGATGCTTCTTTTATTCATAAAACTAGAAAACTAGCTTGTTTCATGATGATCTCCTTTCCTTCTAATATAAATACTCTTAAAAAGCAGTAGGCTTTTATACATTTTTCCTGAATTGTAGTAATAAAAATCAAGCCTTCATATATTTTTGGTTGAATGCACTTCTCGCTGTTTTCCTTCTTTAAGAAGGAGAAATGTAAAGGAGAATCCTCAACACTGCACATGGAAACGGCTGAGGCTGTAAAGGACAAAGAGACGCCTGTAGAGAGGAATAACACTGCTGATAAAGACATTCACACTATGGTCAGTTACTAAAAACTCCTCCATCTTTAGTTGTCTAAATATCATGAAGGTGAACTGTTTTTGAATCCCACTGAAACAACAGCTTTTATTTCCCATGTTTCAGTTCTTGAAACTGTTGATTTTAATTTTTTCCACAGATTTGTTTTGATCATGTGTTGTCTTTTTGGAGTAGCATCAAACTCATTAAATGTCTTTCAATAGAGTATCAAATATATTGTGGCTAATTTGTTATGCAGCATCGTTTCTTTCACTTTAAGTGTGCAATTTGCTCTTTTTTGTATTTGGCAGAAATTGGTCGCAGAGGGACCTTCCAGAGTAGATTTGAGCAAGAAGAGAAAGCGCAGCGAGCGAGAGGAGGAACAGGAGAAACAAAGGTCTTGTTTTTTAAATGCATCCTGGTCTATGTCTTGTCTTTTTCACATAATGGTCACGTTATATCTGTGCGAAAGAGACATTTCTGTTAGGCTGCTAATTCACACAGAACAGAAAGAACGCTGTGTCAGTGTGTCTGCGTACAAATAATAAGCTGCCACCGCACTATCAATTAAAACTAATTGACTTCTTATCCTGATGCATGCTCAGTAATCCAGGTAGAAAAATAAAAAAAAGTTCAATCTGGTCCTCTGAACAACAAAATTAAAGAGGCTGAAGCAGAACAGCTCAGAATCAAAGTTTCATCCTGCCTCAGCAATGCCAAACCACCACCTTCCAACATCAGTAGAGAGGAGAGGGACGCACTCACCACTCTTAGCAAGGACAAAAACATCATCTTTCTCCCAGCAGACAAAGGAAGGTGCACAGTGATTTTGAACCAGAAAGACTATCATGAGAAAGTTATGACACTCCTTAGTGACGTAAACACTTATGAACCTCTGAAAAGAGATCCAGGAAGTGGTTACAAGAAGAAGTTAATAGATTGCCTGAAAAATTTGGAGCAGGACAAGGCTATTGACCGCTTTCTGTACCACAGACTGTACCCAGGGGAGGCCACACCTAGTCTGTATGGTTTACCTAAAATCCACAAACAAGGTGTACCTTTAAGACCTATTGTTAGCATGATTAACTCTGTCACTTACAATGCTTCCAAATATCTGGCGTCTGTACTCATCCCTTTAGTTGGCAGCTCAGAACACCACATACAGAACACCATGGACTTTGTGGATAAGGTGAGGGATGTCATCATGGAGACTGATGAAACAATGGTCTCTTTTGATGTCACATCACTCTTTACGTGCATTCCTGTTGATGATGCAGTAGAGGTGGTCAGTTTAAGATTAAAATCAGACACCACTCTGAGCAGCAGGACCACGCTTTCCACAGAACAACTGTGTCAACTCTTGAAACTGTGCCTGCAGTCAACCTACTTCACATATGGGGAGCAATATTATAGGCAGAAACATGGGTGTGCTATGGGGTCTCCAGTTTCTCCTATTGTTGCCAACCTGTACATGGAGGAGGTAGAAAAGAGAGCCTTGACGTCCTTTTCAGGGACACCACCAAGTCATTGGTTCAGGTATGTTGACGACACCTGAGTTAAAATTAAATCTCAGGAAGTCCAACATTTTACTGACCACATCAACTCTGTGGATAAATACATCAAGTTCACATGAGAAGATAAAAAAATGGCAAGTTGGCTTTCTTGGACTGTGAGGTCTCAGTCTCTGATAGAGGACATTTGCAAACCGAGGTGTACCGCAAACCCACCCACACAGACCAGTATTTGCAGTTTGACTCCCATCACCCTTTGGAGCACAAGTTAGGAGTCATCAGGACTCTGTACCACAGAGCAGACAGCGTCCCCACTAGCTCAGGAGCCAGGCAGAAGGAGAAATCCCACACAAGACAGGCTCTAGAGCAATGTGGATATCCTAACTGGGCCTTCCTGAAAGCAGAGAAGAAACCCAAACAGGACTCCAGTCAGCCATCAGATGAAAAGGAGGAACCCAGACCAGTGGTCATTCCGTATGTTGAGGGAGTATCAGAGAAACTGAGATGTTTATTTTCTAAACATAACGTCCCAGTGGCTTTTAAACCCCAAAATACATTACGGCAAAGACTGGTTCATCCCAAAGATCCAGTCCCCCGGCACAAACAGAGTAATGTTGTGTATGCTGTTCAGTGTCAGGAGGCTGATCAGTCTTACATCGGGGAAACTAAACAGCCACTGGCCAAAAGGATGGCCCAGCACAGAAGATCAACATCATCAGGCCAGGATTCTGCGGTCTACACTCATCTCCAGGCCAGCGGTCACTCTTTCAGGGATGAAGATGTTCACATCCTGGACAGAGAGGAACGATGGTTTGAGAGAGGAGTAAAGGAGGCCATCTTTGTGAAAATAAATCATCCATCATTAAACAGGGGTGGAGGCCTCCGGGTTCAACTGTCCCCCTCTTACAATGCTGTGATTGCTAGTATCACTCAGCCCTCTGTGAATAGTAAACAGCCATCAGTGTGCTAATGATCCATTGTTATGCTGATGGTCCTTCTTGAGCATGTGATCAGCTGGTTTTGGTTGTCAGCAGCAAAACTGGTTGATCCACTCTGAGAAGGTGCTATTTAAGAGACTGAGCTGAATACAGCACCTCAGACTGAGGAAGTCCCTCGGATGAGAGACAAAACGTTTCTACATTTTCTTGTTGTTTTGCTTTGTTTTGTTTTTGTTTTTTTGAATGTCCAGAGGACCAGATTGAACTTTTTTGGATAATTGACTTCTTGTTAATCATACACACCGATTTGACTGTTCAGGAGAGAATCAACATATTCCTCACATTTTAACCCTCTCTACACAAGGCTAACACTCAGTGAAGGTCTCACCTTGAACAGGCAATGGTAAATGTGTGATTTACTTGCACAGGTGAGTGAAGACGTCTATTGGTCAGCCCAGTTAACGGTCTGTGTGACACATGATGTTCTTTTCTACACACAGCTTAATTAGCACCACTCATATGAAGAATGAGACATTTTGTCTTTCATGCTATAATTTCACAATATGACACCAAGAACAATCACCTCGTCAATCTTACGTTGATGACACATGAACCAGCACTCACATGCGTCAGCAGCAAACAGACAGCAGAGCTGTTCACGTTTCATGTGTACTCACCAGCTAGGCTTTGATTACTTCACATCCTGACTCTGGGATGTACCGTAATTGTCGGGCTTTAGAACGCACCTGTCTCTAAGCCGCACTTATTAAATATAAGATAAAATATAATATTGTACATAAATAAGACGCTTCGATTATTTAGCCGCAAGCATCCACCGTATGGGCGGGATCTGTACCCCCAGTCTGCTCTGGCTGTGTGCGCAAGTAGGTATCTCTGCAGACAAATTCGGAAGGCGTATCTGGAAGGCCACATCTGATTGGACGAAAGAAAAATGGGCGTATCCGGGGCCACATCTGATTTGACTTTAGTAAAATGGGCGTGTCTGGAGGGCCACATCTGATTGGACAGTAGTAAAATGGGTGTGTCTGGAGGGCCACATCTGATTGGACGGGGAAAAAAAAAGGCTGAACGAAAAAAATCCATTTGTGTTAACCACAGGCATATTATGTCTATGGTGTTAACCGGTTCGACATTAGCGGCGTCTCGGTTCGACATTAGCGGCGTCTCCATAACTTCTCTTTCCGCCTCTTTTAACACAGAACTTCCAGTTACATTTCAAAATAAGAGCAACATAAATGGTAGTGGGAAGGGCTAAATGTTTGTTTTTTAATACCTAGCCATTAAATTAAAAAACAATCTGTTTTGGTTTTTGAATAATTTGAAAATAGTTACAATCGATTCATAAATTAAGAAAAATAAAGTAGCCAAGATAATAATTATGTGTAAAACTTTTTTAACAAATAAAAAAACTGAAAAGTGGTCACTGGTGCCCATGTCCAGCTATCACTGTGCAAGAGGCGGGGGACAGCCGGGACAGGTCCATCACAAGGACACATAGAGACAAATGAGACAAACAACCATTCACACTCTCACTCACACCTAGAGACAATTCAGAGTTACCAATCAGTGTAACATGCATGTTTTTTGTCTGTGGGAGGAAACTGGAGTACCCAGAGAAAACCCACGCATGCACGGAGAGAACATGCAAACTCTGTACAAAAAGGTCCCCGGCCGGGATTTTATACAAGGCGACCTGCTCGCTGAGAGGTGGCAGCTCTACCAACTGCACCACCGTGCTGCCCAAGTAAATCCAGAGTTATGATAAATAATCCACGCCACATCTTTTTCTGAAAATCATCGTCATATCTGAAGTGTGTTAGAGTGAGAGGCTGCAGCAAAGACGGGCAGTCACAGGGCCCCATCACCTTCCGCTTTCACCCCCCCCCCCCCCCCGAATAGATAAACAACCTCCCCCCTCCTTTCTGACAGAGGCTCGAAGTTATTTGTCAAGTGCCAAAAAATCTACATGAAGAAGAAAAGAAAAAAACGGAAGTTGAATGGAGTTCAGCGAGATAAAGTCACAGCGAGAGTGAGTCATGAGGTTTGAGAGATTTGTGATATTTAGAGTGTTTGGGTTTATAGTTAGGGTGTAGGTTAGTGTCTTTAGACATCTTTAATGTGTGAGAGTCAAAACGAGACAATTTTTGAAAGTGAGGAGGACGGAGCTGCAGACCCAGAAGAGGACGGAATCGCCGAGTCAGAACCTCCCAGACAGAAGAGAAGACCATGAAGGAGAAAAACATTGAGTCAGACAGTGAGGGCTTTGTTGATGAAGAGGGTGATCATGATTTGTTTTAGCTGAGGAAGAGTAGACTGAGCCCCACTAGGAGGTCTGACTGCACAGGGGGTGTGGTCCAGAACCCCTCTGACTGGACCAACAGAACCAAGCATGTTGACCCAGAGGACAGATTAATGGAGGAAAATACACTTCTTTTTTTATTACAGTATAATAAATATTTTGTTAATAAAAAACAAACTAGTGTAGAGTTTTTAAACAAAAAACCCTTGAAACCTTACAATAAAATAATAATTTAAATTAGATATTTTTTATTTCAGGCTGAAACAGCTCTAACAGACTGATTAGTTTTTTTGTGGTAAAACTATTTAAAACTAGTATTTTGACGTAGTTAAGTAAGGTGGTTGATGTTCCTCATGAGGAACACGAATGGTCATAAAGTTAAAGGGTTAAAACTCTTATTTAAATGTTCACAATATGATGTGTTTGATGTGGATCAGATTTCATGATCTTGTCTGTGGTTACTGAAAACTAAGTGAAGTTCCTGAGCTGCATACTTTCAGCTGGGACTGCTGCAAGATAAAGAATAAAGATAAATTCATTGAGAAATAATTCTTTATTAAATTATTGAAAATGTAGGTTATCTCGCTCTACAAAAAATTGATTGACAGCTGCTGATTATGATTCATAACTCTTTTCATATCTGTGACGCTGGTGAGACATTTCCATCAGTGATCAGAGTTTAAACAGTCTGCCTTCAACATTTTCACAGCACAGAACATCTCCATGTGTTGATGTTGGAAATGACTCCAGCTCCCACTCTAACAGCTGAATGTCACAAAAGACAAAAAGAAGAAGAAGAAAGTGTTTCAGGCAACACATCTACACATTAGATTTGTTTAAAACAAAAAGACGAGTGGTTCTGAACCAAGTGGGCACGTAACATCAGCTACTTTTAAAAAAGAATGACAGAGAATAAGTTATATTTTACACTAGAACTAAATTTAGCCGATGCTTAGTTTAAATTTCTTCTCTTTTCATCTCTTAAAAGATGTTAGCTGACATTAATTAAGAACATAATAGTTTTTTTTCTTGGTAAAACATCTTTGTTGGAATAATTTCATCAGTAGATTATCAAGACGCTTTATTGGCGAGTTTCCTGTACTGTGTAAATGTTTTTGTCTTGTACCTGCTCTGGTCACATTATCGTAAAATGCTGATGTTTACTCATAACAAAAATCTGAACTTTCCAGTGCCTTATGCACACAGAGGCCTTGTTTTATGATCCTAGAAAACTAAATGATTTGCAGTAATCAATAAACAAATAATTATTTTTTAAATTCAGTAGATTAAATTCTTATTCACCCAATATTATGTATAGTATTTGTTTTTTTCGTAGAAGCATTTTACAGATAATCTTTCCTACATTACCCAGTCGAGTCATCTGGGCAGTTTCTTTTTTTATAGAAACGTTTCGCCCTCTATCCGGAGGGCTTCATCAGTCAGATGTTGCCTTGAACCATTTTGGCTGTGGCTGCCTGCCTGGGAGGAGTCGATGAGGGACAGGACGGTCCCAAGAAACCAGCTTAGCTCCAGCAAACTGGTTGGTCCACTTAAGGAGTTTACTGCTTGGTGGGGAAACAGTTTACTGGAACTCTTCTGACTGATGAAGCCCTCCGGATAGAGGGCGAAACGTCTGGATGACTGAGCATGAACTTTGTTTCCTACATGACATCTTTTTCAGCGTGCTACGAAGGTATTATTGCCCCACTCTTACAAGGTTAGCGCCGCCCTTCGTATCACTTTGAGAGATGGAAATAGTTTTACTGTCGGGAAATTATAAGTCTCGAGTTGGAACATTATAAGGTTGATAGTTATAGAAAACATTTTACATCTTTTAGTGGAACTGTTAAAAATAAATCATGGAAACTTTGTTTTGAACTTGCATTTTAATATTTCTGTTCTGTAAAAACTACTAATGGGATCAGTAACGGTGAATTAAAGTTAAACCCAACATTTTATTAACCATTACCATTAACCGTAGAGATCACTGATCTGTTTTTCAAGGGAGGCGTGGGCCTGAACATACATGTTTCTTTGGACTGGGAGGAAACCCACAAACACTACAAGAACATTTAGACCTCCACACAGAAAGACCCCAGGTCCATACTGGGGATTGAGCCCAGGACCTTCTTGCTCTGAGGCAACAATATAACCACTGAGCCATCATGCTGCCCACACTCTCATCCATAAATACTAAGGTAGATGAGTTTAAACAGATGAGTTTTCAATCAGGCCACCTTCAAGCCTGTTTTAATGAATTTAGTTTTAATTCACAGTAACATGGCTGCTCTGTTTCAGTGCATGTAGTGGCTCAGTTTAAAGTCAGGCGAGAAGTTTTTGATGCGTTAATTAAAGATCAAATCGAAGCAGAGCCGTGTTCGGTGAGAACAAGATGGAGGGAAAACATCGCTGTGGGAGCTTTAGGAGTTTTCAGCAGCTTCTGGAGCTTGAATCTTTTAAATGATTTATTTTTTATTGCAGTTGAGGTTAAATCATGCGTTAAAGCAGCACAGTATTTCTGTAACATTCCTGGTTTAGATTTCGGTTGCACACATTCTTTTTAAATGTGCTTGTTTTTATTAATAGTTAATGTTTTGTTTGCTTATACGAAGCTGTTGTTTGTTTAATCACAAACGTATGTGAAGTCCGATTGTTGACGCGTATCCTCAGTAATAATGATTAACTTTTCTTTTCCTAATCTCGTTTTCTTCTTGTGTGTTTTTTACAAAATGCAGGCAAGTGACGGACGCTGTCGTGACTGATCCACAAAAGCTTTCGGGAACGAGCGAGGAGGTAAGACTCCTGATGAATCTTAGCCGTCTAATGTTAGAACATTATCAGACATTTTCAGGTGAGATGTTTTATTCATTCTGAGATGTTCACATGGGTTTTATCATTCTGTTTACATTATATCTGTACTCCTTTATTCTTTCTATTTCAATGTGTGGTTGATCTTTGAGCCCGGGTGTTCGTGCAGTTCAATGTGTTTCTGATGTGGCTCTTGGTGCCATGTGCAGCAACAGCACATGTATTTTCTCACTCGGCCTGGTTTGATCATTTCTACTCATTGCTTTGTTGTGAAGGTGCTCATGCTCTTATCGGTGCCTGCACACACCTGCACCTGTTCCACTGACCCCCAGACCTCAAACTGACCACAGCTAAGTCCTCAGGGCTGCACCACAGAGGAGTCCACCTGACAGCAAAGGCTGCCAGAGCTATGTATGGGATCAGAACATTTAAAGGGGGTCAGCGTTAGCCACCTCTACACTCTGTTGTTATGCCTCTCTGATGTTTTAAATCCGTTTTGAGAACACGAGCAAAGAAGTCTGTTCCCGTCAAGTTAAACGCTTGTGTTTTTGACCTTTACCAGAAGAACCACTGTGGACATTGGATCGTTACCTGGAAGTGCTTTTAAAAGATGTTTGGATTTTGGAAACGCCATGAATTTGTTTTCTTGGAAACATTTTTGTATAATCTTCTTACAGGCAGTGCACAATTCTTTTATCTCGCACTGAAGAAGGACTTGGTTTCTTCTCAAACTAAACATCTCAGCCAACATTTAGAGTTCAGTGTTTCTCCAAGGAGAGTACCCAGCAATGCCCCAAACTTTTGTTGTTGGTGAGCTTGCCGCCTCTTTAAGAAGACTGGCACTGACAGAGTGGTCTTATCCAAACGTCTTGGCCATCAGTGATCCTGTACGTGCTGCCGTGATCGGATCGGATCCAACTCAGTGGTTCCAGGAAAGGAGGAGATTTTGCTCTATATTATATTTTTGTTAGTTTTTTTAGTTAATTTGAAAACTTCTTGACAGTCTTCCAAGAGAGAGTTTTCTGATTACTGTAGTTTTATACAAATATTTGACATTTTTACTTCAACTCAGTTGATGTAGTTGACGTATTTAGGCTTAAAAAAAGAAAACAGTTTTGTTCCCAAGCAATTAATGTGTTGATTTTTATGAGTATCAAAAGTTGATGACCTTTGGTGTCGTCAATTACAAGAAGTTTGTCCTTCGTTCTCGGTTCCTTCAGCCTGACCTTCATCACCGGTGTCCACCCTCAGTCTTTGTCGCTCACCTGTCCCATGTCTGCTGGGTTGTGTTTGTTTTTTCTCTTTCAGGTATCAAAAGTTTTCTCGGCTCGCAAGATCTCCCTTGGCAGTGAGTACACCTCTAGTTTTAATTATTGATTCATTTTTTAGAATTATTTAATAATTTCTGAATGTTTCTAAATCATTCTCATTGAGATTCGTTTTTCTTCCATGTGTTTTTCAGCACGCAACTCGTTCCTCAGTTTTTGTGTGTTTTCAACAATTCATGAATCTAAACGTTCATCTCATTCAGGACATTTCTGCTCAGACTTTTAGAAATATTTAGCTCCTTCAGCCATGTTTTTCTCTACTCTCCACATCCTTCAGACCCTTTGAGCTGTTTACGACATGTTACTGCTCATTTCAGCTGTTGTTCTGGTTCAGCTTTTTTCAGCCTCTTAGCACTAATTTCAGCTTCCTTCAGCTACTTCCAGCTGATCTTCTGCTCCTTTCAGCTACTTTCTGATAATTTTAAAAAAATTTCAGATTTTTCAGATAATTTTTGGTATTCTTTCCTGCTAATTTTAGCCTCTTCTTTTTATTTTTTGCTAATTTCTGCCCCCCCTCTCCATCCTTTTTTTGTTTTTTTTTTTTTCTATTTTTTCTTTCTTTTTTTTTTTTTTTTTTTTTTTTTTCCCCCCCCCCCCCTTTTTTTTTAACAATGCTCTTTTCAGTCTATTAATTTCAGCTTTTCTTTTTTTTTTTCAACTTCTTTCTGCTCATTTAACCTGCTTTCTGATTTTTCAGATACTTTTTTGGTATTCTTTCCTGCCAATTTTAGCCTCTTTTTTAAATTTTTTTATTTCTGTCTTGTTGTTTTTATGTTCTTTTCAGTCTCTTTCTGCTCATTTCAGCTTTTCTATTTTTTTAGCTACTTTTTTTGCTAATTTCAGCCATTTTTCTGCTAATTTCATTCTTTTATTTTATGTTATTGTGCTAACTTCTACATTTTTAATATACAGCCTTTGTCTATTTCAGCTTATTCTGCTACATTTCTGCTCTATTCAGCTTATTCTACATATTTCAGCTGTTTTTCTGCTGCTTTCAGCAGTAAATGTCAGCTGTCCGCTTACATTAACTGTTTAGAGATGAAACCTTTTCAGCTGGTTTCAGCTTCTTCAGCAGCTTTCAGCTAAACTCATTCAGCAATAAGCGTTCACGCCATATTTTCACAGGAACTTACATTTTCTGATTGAAGCTTTTCTGATTGGAGCTGTGTTTTATCCATCTCAATAAATCAAACGTTGCAATAATCACACAGTTTATGAAGCATAACTACATAATAAACATAAATATTCTAATGTCTGCAGATTTTATCACCTTTCATACATTTAATTCAGTGGTTCAAAGCTTTCATGCCACACCAGTCTTTAAAGGAAGAAGGACCCCGCACACACACACTCTCCCCTGTCAGCTCAACAAAGTGATTCAGGTTTAAAATATAAATAAGTTTAGACTCTCCTATCAACCTCTGAGGTGCAGTCACCTTTTCAGAGCCGCAACAATCAAAGTTTAATCTGTGCACAGAAACCCAGCAAACATAAATATAAAGGAGTATAAATTATAACTAATAAAAGCTGCATTGACTGTTTCTCTTCTGTCTTCACTAAGAACAGCTGTGATTTAAAACGTCATGACATTAGTTCTGCTTGGAACTTTTGGGCCCCAAAATAAAAATAAAATAAAATGGGAGTGGCCGCACCATCTCTGCAGAGTCTTAGCCCACAGTTTGAGAACCACTGAACTGTTCCTGTGATGTTACAACTACTGATCCTTTAATGTGACGTTGCAGGCAGTAAATCATCCCCGGGCAGCGGAGAGGGTGACCAGGAGTCTGTGCCCGTTGCCGGTCGTAAGAGAAGATGGGGCTCCAGCACAGCTGTCACTGCCAAGAAACCCTCCATCAGCATCACCACAGATTCACTGAAGGTACGGGCAGCAGGTGGAGGAACATCTGTGGTCGTTGGTAACGCATGCAGGAGCTTGACTCCTGGGAAATAATAACTAGTACAAGAAGGAAAAAAGCATTTCATCAGCTGATTTGAGAAAGTGGTTGATCTACAAGATGTACATGATCCATAGCAGCACTTTGACAATTTTTAGACGCCCGTTGAAGGTGGGACGTTTTATGGTTATTCTATGTCTGAAAACTTTCCCTTGTCCTGCCAATAACTTGTGAGCCGCTAAAGATAATTTAATGAAACTTGATACATATTTGTACCATCACTAGACTCACTGTTGTCTGCTCTTTCTATGTTGTTATAGATTACTGTATAATAGTTTGTCGACGAGTGTATATTGTGTCGTATGATGTATTCTTGTTTCTCGTGCTTCTTCCATCATCAGCACTAAACAGTGGAGACGTAACGTTCTTGTGTGTTTCTTCGTTCTACTCTCAGTCTCTGATTCCTGACATCAAGCCGGCTCTAGGTCAGGAGGCAGTAATGGACCTTCATCCTGAGGAAGCTGCCCTATCTGGAGCTGAGGATGAAGAGCAGGAATGTTCAGACCAGAACCTTCAGATCCGACGCACTGTCACACAGGTGACTTTGCAGCCCATAGAATGTTTTCAACGTGGAGTCTGAAGGTTTCTTTTCTCAGTTGATGACATCTTGATGCACTTCATGTGTCTTCAGGTGATCCATGCTGAGGAGAACGGACAGCAAGAGGCAAAGAGGAGCAGGTGTGAGGAGTTTGAGGAGGAGGATTCACACTTAGAGCAAGAAAGTATAAAGGTCCATGAAGAGCAGATGGACACTTCTGTCCCTGGAGCTTTGGAAACCCAGTCACCAACTCCAACTAGCCAAGATGTTGAAATTAGCACTGGTATTAAATTCACCACAGTCACACTCTTCTATTAAAACTCTGCTGAAATCTATTCATGATACTTTTAATAATTTTAGTGCACATTTTATGTTCTTTTTATTGTAATACAAGTGTAGCAGAATGTAATAAAGCACTATGTTGACTGTTCTTATTGTAGTAACGCTCAGCGAACCCCTCATCCGTCGCTCCATCAGCCAACAGAAAACAGGTGTTTACATCACCGTTGATGACCCTGTTCGTACGAGCCGGCAGCCTTCACCGCCTCGAGGCAAAGCCTCCAGCATCGTTCACGTCTGCAACCTGGTGAGGGAACAAGTCTTTGTCGTGGCACTGATTTGTTACTGTACCAACATTCACTGCCTGCAGTTGTGCACCAAAGATGGAAACTTTTCTGTATCTCTGTCTTTGTGGAGTTTATACCTCAAATTGTCACAGTCACTTTGCAATGAAAGTGCAGTTCTTTTGGTGACATTTTATATATTGTATATATTGCAGCAGTTTCAGCTTTAGCTGTGGGATCAATTGTTCCATATTTGACTGCAGAAGGCAGAGTAGTTCATGATCCACTCGGTCACTGCAAGGTCCTGAGAACTTTATCTGCGAGCTCAGATCATCTCTCCATTATCTAGTTGAAGCTGTTGTTGCCATTGTTTTCACCAAATGTGGCAGTTTATTAGGGCCACACCTCTCCACTACAGTCTCGTGTTAATTGTTCCAATAGTGTTTTTTTATTTTTGGTCCCCTGCCATGGAGCGAAGAGGGGCAATTGAAAATACCCCCCCCCCCCCCCCCCTCAAATCTGTCCATCCATGACATTGCAAGCATGATAACTTGAATAAGAAACGAGGTGCCGACTTCCATTTTGGTGTATCGCAGCATCTTGGAGTAAGAAAGAATGCTTTTGAAAACTGGACTGCCATGCCAAAATCCAAGATGGCTGCCGCCATTCATGTATAGTAGTCCCTCGTTTATCACGGGGGGTTCCGTGCCCTGCCCCCCCGCAATAAGTGAAAAAACGCAAAGTAGGAATAGTAGTACAAGTAGTAAGTAGTACTTTATTTTAGTATATATACAGACCCTTTCCAAAAAATTAGAACATCATGGAAAAGTTGTTTAACTTCCATAAGTCCATTCAAAAAGTTCATCTTTAATAGATGATAGATTCAGGGCCCACAATTTAAACCATTTCAATTATTTATTTGTTTATTTTTACGTAATTTGGACTTCCAGCTCATGAAACCCACGAAAACAGGATTTCAAAAAATTAGAATACCGTGGAGAAATCAAATCCTCGCACTGTAAACTGAACCGAACACCCCATCTGTGCAGCTCTGCCACTTCCAGACGGGGAGCGGAGATTGTAACAGCTCAGAGATAACGGCGTGCAATACAAACGTAGTGCTCCGCTAGGGAGGTTACTTGCCTCAAGTCACGTAACCTAGAGGAAACACTGTTCCCTGTTCAGTTCCAGTCGAGAAAAACACTCATAAACTACAAATATTCACTACTATTCAGAGACGAGGGACATCTGGTCTCCAGAAGCTGACTTATATACAGCAGTGTTTACCCTACAGTTATACAAGTGGAACACCCCCCCCCCCCCCCCCCAGACCTTCTATAGACAGGTGTGTGTTTCCAAATCAAGTCCAATCAACTGAATTTACCACAGGTGGACTCCATATATGTAGTAGAAACATCTCAAGATGATCAGTGGAAACAGGATGCACCTGAGCTCAATTTGGAGTTTCATGGCAAAGGCTGTGAATACTTACATAATTGTGATTTCTTAGTTTTCTACTTTTATTAAATTTTGCAAAAATCTCAGACAATCTTTCTTCACATTGTCATAATGGGGTATTGTGTGTCAAGAGATTAATTGAGTAGAGATTAATTTAACACACTTTGAAGTAAGGCTGTAACTAAACAAAATGTGGAAAAAGTGAAGCGCTGTGAATACTTTCTGGATGCACTCTATACTTCTTTGATAGAAAATGCCCCTTTATAAAACAGAGTGTCCGCGGGGTCTTGAAAGTTATTAAAAGTTGATAAATCAAATTTGGGAAAATTAAGGGTCTTGAAAAGTATTAAAAAGTCTTGAAAGCGATTTGATGAGGTATTATTTTTTTTGCTGTTATTCTAGCTTTAAATAATTTGACAGCAAAAAGTATGTATGACTAATATTTGTTTTCCTCACCGCGGAGGATTCGGAAACTGCTTCGCACAAATTTAGAGTGTCAGGTTACAACAGCCTTAACGGCTAGGCCTATCTTGTGCGCATGCGCGGCTGCTTTGAGTCTGTGTGTTCGAGTAAGTTGCCGCGAGACCGTGAGAACAATGGGTAAATGCAAGTTTTCGGACTCCTGGTTGGAGATGCCTGATTTTCAAGAATGGCTGAGGCCTGTCGCCGAGAATAACCGCGAGGCTTATTGTACATTTTGTAAAAAAAAAGATGAGTGTAGCCTCGATGGGCATAAACGCCTTGAAGTCCCATATGACTGGAGCTAGCCACAAAAGTGCAGCTAGCCGCAAAACGCAGATGTCTATCAGCAGTTTCTGTGCTCCACCAGCGACAGCGCTTCCAGCTAACCGTGTGCCTGAACCAACCAAAGCTCCCTTGACACTGTCTTCTGCCTCTCCGTCTGCCGACATCATGGTGACCATGGGCAGCACACCAACACTGCGTGCAGAGGTGATCTGGTGTCTCCACACTGCGGTGAATCACCATTCTCTAAATTCCAACGAAGGCATATCGGACATTTTTAAATCAATGTTTCCAGATTCGGATATAGCCAGAACATTCACTTGTGGCAAGGACAAAACGGGTTACATCTTGCGATTCGGGCTTGCACATTTTTTTAAGCAGGAGCTCGTTGACAGTATTAACAAAGCTGGCCCATTTGTGTTGATGTTTGACGAGTCTCTGAACCAGTCAACTAAAAAGAAACAGCTCGATGTGCACATTCGTTTTTGGAATGAAGACTGCGTTCAATCCAGGTATCTGGGCTCTCAATTCCTGGGACATGGAACAGCGGAGGACTTGTTGCATCACATCAAAGTAAGTGAATCTTTTTGTTTACTACTATTTAATCTTTTCTTTGTGTATGTTGATATTAAATAAAGCATATTACAGTACATTTTTATATATGAAAAGTACTCAAATAGAATATTCCTTTAAATCAATGAAGAATTGTGTGTGTGTGTGTGTATGATATTTACATACATAACTTGATTTGAACACCTGTGTGTCTAAAAATTAAATATCAAATCCATACTGTTGTCACAGGAATGTGTTGCCAAACTCTCCCATGGACAGGCCACAGTGGAGCGTGGATTCTCAGTTAACAAGAAGGTCGAAACCTGCAACATACACGAAGAGACGATGGAGGCTCTGAGGTTGATCTGCGACAAGGTCAGTGTCTGTGGGGGTGTTCTGCAGGTACCTCTGACCAAGGAGCTGCTGGCTTCTGTTGCCTCTGCAAGGTCAAAGTACAGGATTTACCTGGAACAGCAACGAAAGAAGAAAGAAACTTCCACACAGAGCCTTAAGAGGAAAGCAGCTGGAGCTGAGTTAGAAGAGCTGAAAAAAAAGAGAAAACTTCTACAAGAGGTGTGCGATTCTCTGCAAAAAGATGCAGATCAGTTGGCAGAGCAGGCAGAGGGAAAGTCAGGTTCTTTAATGGCCCAACTGATCACCAAGTCCAATGTCTTGAGAAGGAGACGTAAAGAAAAACTCAGTGAGCTGGTGCAAACTGAAGAGTTGCTGGAATGCAAAGCAACTGCACTGAGGCACATGTAATGATTACTGTGTTTATTTCTTATTCGCCATTGTTCAACCAAGTTACTTTAAAATAACTACGAGTCTTGTTGTAACCTAAGCTATATTTTCTTAAACCTAGTCGTGGTTCAGTTTCTTCTTTTGAAGTTTTTTCTATCCACTGTATCTCAGTTCTGTTGTAGGTTTGAGATTCACGGATTTAATTGAAAACAACAGCAGTTTTGTAAATCAAAGATTTGTTGCTTAATAAAACAAAGTGACGATAAGGTCTTGAATTTATTTTGGAAGGTCTTGAAAAAGTCTTGAAAAGGTATTGAAATTAACTTCATTATTCCTGCATATACCCTGTAAAACTTCAGTGTTGCGTTAGAAACATCTTTGTTTGATCAGTCCATGTTAGTATCTGAGATTTATTGGTTTCAGGGTCTGATCATACTACAAAGATCTCGAGTGTATTTTTCTTAACTCACCCACCTCAGAGAAGCTAAAATGTCAAAATGTTTTCTCCTTTTATTCCTTTCTGTCAGTCAGCCACATATTGCTGGCTGTATGATGAATACTGAGTATGATTAAATATTTTGTCAAAATTATGTTTTTAAAACTGCTAACAAGTGCTATGTAACGTTTTGTTTAGGTGAGGCCGTTCACTCTCGGCCAGTTGAAGGAGCTGCTCAGCAGAACTGGCAGTCTGGTGGAGGATGGCTTCTGGATCGATAAAATCAAGTCCCATTGTTACGTCACCGTGAGTTCTTACAGATGCTCAGTTTTTAATGGCTGCAGCTCAGAGCTTCGCAGCTTTTTGACCACAGCAAGTTCTCCATTGGTTTGTGCGCAGTACTCGTGTATGGAGGAGGCGGTGGCGACGCGAGTAGCTCTTCATGGAGTCAAATGGCCTCAGAGCAACCCTAAAGTCCTTCGAGTGGACTTCTGTGAGCAGGATGAGGTGAGACCTCACTACGTGGTTTTTATTGACCTCCTAGGCCCCATGATGCCTTGCGCAAATTACGTGTGCGACTTCTGATGCGGACAGAAACCGGTGTTTGTTTATGTGTGAACAGTACGAGCTAATGTAGTTTCTCCACGCATTGTGGATTAAATTTAAACATGTAGGAACACCACCTGTCAAGAGTTCAAACAGGACAATATAATCATACTGCTGCCTGCTACAAGGGATGGAGGACGAGCTGAAGAAGTGGCTGCCAATTGAGCTACTTATACTAGCATATTTAGGTACTTCACTGACTCGATTATTCTGACGGTGAATCGATGAACAACCTGAGAAGCTCTGAGGTGTGTTAGTATCTACACCGTAATAAGGCCGGTGGTGTTTTATTAAAAGAGGTGGGACACAATCTTATTGACCTTAAACAACACAGAGCCCAACCAAAGCCTTAAAGTCCTCCATCACTGAGCTTGGGTTAATTGCAGAGAAAATCACATTACTGAAGATGAACAAATACGATAATGTTGTGTCCTCCATACACTTGAAATCATACCTGATATTCTCGTCACACTGTTTTCAATCCTTCTGAGGATCCAACGTCTCTTCTCCAGTGGTTTATTGTAGTCCAGACACAAAGTAAGATGCAGGTTTTCCTCCATCGACCGTTTATCAACAAAGTAAACTGAGCTCACAGACAGAGTTTGGGTGGTCTCTTCTAGTTCACATTTTTCAGCCACATTCTTCTTAATTCCTCATCTGTAGGTAGGAAATGGAAACTATAGCTCTTTTCACAAGAACACTTTTTTGCTTTGGGTCCGTGTTCAAAACTCTGTTGTTGTAGCCACTGATTTAGTTTGGTCTGGTTGTTCTGCAGCTGTGAACACAACAGGTACCTGAACTCAGCACGGCTGTTTGAGTAAACCTAATGGTTGTTAAATAAATGTGAACAAAACAAAAACAGTTTTCTCTGCTAAACTGAATGTAAATTACTTTCAAATAAACCACGGTCTGTGCGCCGCTACCAAAGTTAACCAATGCTTACTGGTACTTCCTGTCTGACAGGAAGTTGTACCCAGAATCATTTATACAGTAGAGCCTCCAGGAAGAAGGTGGCTACGCCTGTTGAAAGGCGGAGGTGTTATGGTTTAGTCTCTGTAATTTTTTTGTCTCATCCATAACTTCTGATCTGCTCAAGATAATGTATTGAAACTTTGTACACGTATGCTTCATCACTACACAGAGTGTCAAGTACACTTTTCATTACTGCAGCTCCAGGGTCAAGGTCACAAATCAAGGTTAAAGTTGAAACAAGGTCTTTGCTTCTCCGGGTCATTGCTGTATAATAGTTTGTCGATGGCCATTACTCTTGTTTATTTATTCATGCATTCCTTGGCCGTCGGTTGGATAACCAGTGTCTGTTTTGTAGTTGGATTTCCACAAAGGCTTGATCATAGCGGACAAACCCGGAGGAGAAGAAATGGGCCCCGCCTCGGGACATGTGCGAACATTAGGTCTGCCCCCTCTGATGCCCGAGAGATACCTGTGGAGCGAGCGCGAGCGAGAGATGGAGCGCAGAGAGCGGGCCCGAGAGGAGCGGGAGTGGGATCGGGACAAGATCAGAGAGTTCAGGAAACCTGGGGAGGAGAAGGACGGGGGCCCTCGGAGGTCGCGCTCCAGAGAGAGACGGCGTAAGGAGAGAGGGAAGAGCAAGGAGAAGAAGACAGAAAAGAAAGGTAAGAAACCTGGGAGTAGATAATGTTGAGTAAGTTTACTGATACTCCTTTGATAAATATCCTGTTTGTTTGTTTTTTCTGGGTAAACAGCTGAAGACCCCCCAGCCAAATTGCTTGATGACTTGTTCTGCAAAACTAAAGCAACTCCTTGCATTTACTGGCTTCCCCTCACAGAGGAGCAGGTGAGACCCAAACGTCTTCATGCTGTTTGAAATTGTCACGTGAAGGTTTTATTCAAGCCTCCTCCTCTCCTCTTTTCAGTTCCTTCAGCGGGAAGCTGACCGAGCAGAAAGGAGGAAACAGCGAGAGAAAATAAGGAAAGAACAAGAAGAAGAGGAGGCCAAAAAAATGGAAGAGGAGCGTAAGGAGAGGATGAAAGTTGCAGGAGCCACGACGGGAGACCGAAGTGAGGGTGAGAAAGAGAAGGACCGAGAGAGGGACAGAGGTAGAGATGGAGACCGGGACAGGAACAGAGACCGAGACAGGGAGAGAGAGAATGACAAACGCAGGGATGCTTACCGTAGACCAGGAGGCAGTTCAGCTCGCCGCTCACGCAGCCGAAGCGATCCAAGAGAGAGGAGGCACTGAAGGCTCACAGACTGTCGCCGAGACCGCCCTCTTCCATTTGCCTTCACTACATGTACTTTGTTGCAGCAAAGACCCGACAGAGGACCAATTGATGTCGCTTCCATCCCTCCAAAAGTCACTTCTTTTAGCACATCTCCACATCCTGTCAAAGGAGGCGGAGGAGTGACTCCTGCAGTGTTTTTCAGAGTGCTGTACGTCTTGGTCTGTTCAACTATTTCCTTTAATCTTTCGCCGATCTCTTCAGTTTTTGTCCCGAGCGCGTAGCAGTACGGCACACTGAGCAGGTTTTATTCACTCCTGAATCCACCTTTTCTAAACGCAGCTGTGCAAATCCTAGTTTTCAATCAGTGGACGAGTCTTTTGGGCTGAAACGCTCGGAGTGCTTTCGTTGCTGCATGTAGTGCAAAGTTACCCTTTCAGAGGTTTGCAAAAATCAGAAAATATTGCAATTGTTTGGTATTTTGTACAGATCTATAAGAATATTCAAATTTAAGTCTTTAAATAAGGCAGCTCTGGGGGTTTTTCACTTAGTGTGTAAAAACTACGAAGGCGATGCAGTGTTCCTCTTTCTCCGGGAAGAGTTGAGATAATTCTCTTTTGGAGAAAATCTGTCATACCCGACAAAAATAAAGATTATATCCTTGTTAAATCCCCCCCTTTCCCCCCTCCCTCGCTTCTAACCCCACAGAGTCTTTTCAGGCCTGAGAGGAGAGATCACATTATGACTTTTACCACCAATGGTTTTAATATTGTTTTTTATTGTTATTTTATCATTTTAGTACAAAGATTTCTTCTTGTTTTTAATTTCTTTGAGTCGCCTATCAGTGGTGAATGTACAAATAATAAAAATTGAAGTTTGAAGAGATTGCAATATTTCTTTTCCAATCTCCATAATGGAGGATTTATTTATTTTCAGTGATCTTGAACGTGCTCGGTCTGTCCGGGAGGTTTCTGTGAATGTTGCGCTCAGACTCCACAAGGGGTCAGTGATACAGCTGCTTTAAACTTTTCAAACCAGCTGAAATATTTAATGCAGTCATGTTAAACTCTTCAAAAAGCCGGATCTTAAATGTTTGAAGGTTTAAACCCGCCCGCTCCTCTCCTTAGTCTTCCTCGAACGTTAGTTCTGTTATTAAATCAGCTGAGAGGACAGAAACGGTTTCTGCTGCGTTTCTTTAAAAATCACATATTTTCTCTTTTCTGTTCTCGCTCCGACTCTAGTCTTGGACCTGCCGAGCTCAGCAGAGTTTCTCTCTAATTACAGCCCTCTGGTCGCTGAGCCTGGCATTTTTCTGCCCTGATGCAACCCAGAGTCTGGACTCTGCCCAGAGTCTGGACTCTGCAGACCTTCTCTGAACATCCTTCTGACACTAGGAACAAATCAAAGTGGGGCGGCTTCGTTTGAGCAGCAGCACTCAAAAATAAAATGGTCTTTGACTTCTGATGACCTCGGAGAGGATGAGGAAGAGCGTTCTTTTTCTGCTAAACCAGTGTGATGCTGAACGACTGCTGAAGTCTGAAACTTGAAGCAGAAAGCTAGTCAAAGATAAAAGCAACTAAATTAACTCAGTGCTAATGTGGCAGAAAGAAAAAAGCCACAGACGACCTAAAAGTACTTGAAGGCAAGCTAAAAGTAGCAAACGGTAATTTAGCGTAGCAATGGGCAAGCAATAAACAAAAAGTAGTTAAATCCTAAGTAAAAGTTGCAAAATGAAAGCTCATAGTAGCAAAGTGCTAGTTAAAATTGTAAAAGGCAGAAAACTATGAACAAAAGAAAACGAGGAACTTATGTGTCCCTTGCCCGGACATGGGTTACTGGGGCCCCAGGCCTGGGGGAGGGGTTGGTCAGCGAGCGCCTGGTGACTGGGTCTCTATACATGGGGCCCGAATGAGTAACATGCGTTTGCCTTCCTGTGGGCCCCCCACCTTCAGGAGGGGCCATAAGAGTCTGGTGCATGAATCCATGGGCAGTGGCCGAGGGAGGGGACCTTGGCGTCTGACCCTGGCTTACCGAAGCTGGTTCTTGGGACATGGAACATGACCTCTAGTGGACAACGAGCCTGAGCTTTTGCTTGAGGTTGAGAGGTACCGACTAGTTATAGTTGGCTCACCTCGATGCACAGCATGGGCTCTGGAACCAATCTCCTTGAGGGGCTGGACCTTATTCCACTCTGGAGTTGCCCATGGTAAGAGGTGCTGAGCTGCTGTGGGGCTACACTTAGCCCCCCGACTTGGTGCCTGTGCGTTGCAGTTTTTCCCGGTAGATGAGAGGGTAGCTTCCCTTCACCTTCGGGTGGGGTACGGGCTCAGACTTGTTTGTGCCTATGCGCCGAACAGCAGTTCAGAGTACCTGGCCTTCTTGGAGTCTTTAGCGGGGGAAGGTGCACCAGCTGGGGACTCCTTTATTCTACTGGGGGACTTCAATGCCCATGTGGGTAATGACTGTGTGACCTGGAAGGGCGTGACGGGGAGGAACGGCCTTTCTGATCTGAACCCGAGCAGTGTTCTGTTGCTGGACTTCTGTGCTAGTCATAGTTTGTCCATCACGAACACCATGTTCGAACATAAGGGTGTCCATAAGTGGCACCAGGACACCCCGATACATAGATCAATGATTGACTTTGTAGTCGTGTCATCTGATTTGCAGCTGTTTGACACTCGGGTGAAGAGAGGAGCTGAGCTGTCACCTGATCACCACCTGGTAGTTAGTTGGATCAGATGCCGGACAGACCCAAACGTGTAATGAGTGTAGTGCTGGGAAAGCCAGGCAGAAGAACCCGTCAGAAAGATCTTCAACTCACACCTCTGGGAGAGCTTTAACCGCATCCCAGCTGAGGAGGGGAATATTGAGTGCCAGTGGGCCCACAACTCAATTGTTGAAGTGGCTGGCTTGAGCTGTGGCTGTCGGTGCTTCTCGCGGTGGCCATTCTCAAACTCTGTGGTGGACACCTCGGGTAAGGGAGGCTTTCAAGCAGAAGAAGGAGCCCTATCGATCCTTGATGGCTGGTGGGACTCAGGAGGCAGCTGAGGAGTACTGGAGGGCCAAGTGGTCTGGAGCCTTGGCTGTTGCTGAGGCAAAAGCTAAAATGTAGGAGGAGTTTGGTGAGGCCAAGGCCGGATTAACCTTATGGGCAACTGGGCAACTGCCCAGGGGCCCAGGGCAGTGAGGGCACAAGCAGAATATCTGGTTATCTCCTGCTTTACTTGGAGCCCTGCGCTGCACAGAGACTGCTGCGCTTCCGCTGCATTTGGGCCGCCCCACCTCCTCCCAGCGGCTGCTGTAGCTCGCAGGTTGTTTTTTTTGTTTGTTTGTTTGTTTTTCAATCAGATCCTCGATGGTGCGAACTGTCAATCAACTCAGAAGGCGTGTCAGTAACTGACCAATCGACGACCTCAATTTGTCCCGAAGGTAAACGCCCCTTACCTGCTGACAAGCTCATCAGTTTTTTTCTTGAGAAACATTGTTTTAATTAAAACAATAAGTTTGTATCTGTTGTGAGATGATTTTAGCAGTTTTGCAGATTTTTAATCTACTTAATGAAGAATAGTATGACTTAAAATTGTTCATCAAACAGGAAGAAGGACTTATTATCCCTCCTCTTACTACAGTGAATGTGATACTTTGCTATAAGTATGACTTTATTTATGGCATCAGAGAAAGCTGAGCTCAAGTTATCCACATAAAGTAAAATGTCATCAGCATCAAAAGAAGGAATGCTGAGTTTGAGATTAATCCAGTTTCTGATGTTTGACCAAAGACTTTGTATTGACATGCTTGAGGGATTCATCTTGTGATTTACAAAAGACACACAAATCAACCTCAAATTTAAATCTTATTTCAAGAAACATGGCTACAAAATATATCTTATTTATTATTTTAAAATGATTCTCCTTCACTTTAGGAGATTTAGACCATTTGACAAATTTAGAATGAGCAGAAATCATACTGGTTTTATGATTTATACTGGGAGGTTTCTTGAAGGAATCGTTATTAGTAAATCCTTTGTTGCAAACATTCATTGATCTTATTTCATTTGAAGTCAACAAAGTTACAGTCATTTAGTTTTAATTTGGGCATCCAATCATCACCTTTGAATATATAATATTTTTAATTAATTGAATCAGCTGTTGGTCAGGTTACTTCTTGTTGTGCCATTAACTCTAAAATAGTTACTGAATCAAGTGTTTACTTCCATCCATCCGCGGGGGTAGCAGCCTAAGTAGGGAGGCCCAGACTTCCCTCTCCCCAGCCACTTGGACCAGCTCCTCCAGGGGAATCCCGAGGTGTTCCAAGTGTTTACTTATGTAGGTAAAACTAGATGTTAAACAACCATTAAAACACACCAGGATGCAGGAAATGGCATCTACTTTATTGTAAATTTTCTGGGGGAGGACCCCCAGACCCCCCCCCCATCAGTGTGTCCCCCCACCCCCAACACACATTATAAATGCTTCTGACACCAGTGGCACCATGTTACTAAACAAGTACACATATGGTGTCATGTGGTGTTCAAAGTGAAAACTTGATTCAGTCTTGATGATTTGTGTCAATGAGCATTTGGTGTTTTATACATAAAAATACTCTTGATAGTTAGAATTTTAAGTATATTTACTGTATATTATGGTAATTTATTCTGTATTTTGCCAGATTATGGTGATTCTGGGGTCGTGATGACGGGCCCTTGAAGATTGTTGCCCAGGGTACAGCGAAGTGTTAATCTGGCCCTGGGTGAGGCCCTGGATAGGAAGGAAAGTGGAAGGAATACTTCTCGTACAGCAAAGTTCTTGCTCAATAATCCAGGTATAAAGTCCAACAATGTTCAGTCAGGTCATCTGGACAGTTTTTGTGCTGTTTCGTCCATCATCCAACGGACTTTTTCAATCTGTGGAACCTCCAAACAAAACTGATTCTCCACCAACAGTATACTCCAGAGTGAGAAAAAACAGTTGCTGGTGCTAAGATTGCCTCTGGGGCCATCCTCCTCAGCTTGAAGAAGTCTGTTGGATGACGGGCAAAACGTCTCAGTGCAAAAAATGACCTGAATGAACTTTATTGGATTTTATACCTGGATTATTGAGCAAGAACTTTGGTGTTTTGAACCACTTTTACATGACTGTCTTAGAAGAGTTGACGAGGGAGAGGGCGGGCCCCAGAGGAGAGGGTGGGCCCCAGAGGCCCTCTTAGCACCAGCAAACTGTTTTTTTTCCACTCTGGCGTATGCTGTTGGTGGAGAATCTGTTTTGTTTGGTGGTTCCTCTGATTGAAGAAGTCTGTTGAATGACGGACAAAATGTCTCAGCACAAAAAAGAAACCGTCCAGATGACCTGACTGAACATTGTTGGAATACTTCTCAGACCTTCTCAATCCCACTGGCACGTCTTCCATGGAGGAAGCAGAGTCGGGGGACGTCGGGGTTGGTCTGTCCTCTTTGTTAAAGGAATCAGGTCTCTCTAGTAAATGAGTCCCCGAGGCTCTGTGGGATTAACCTGTCTAAATAAAGGTTGAATGAATGAATGAATAACTGTAGCTGAGGTCGCCGAGGTAGTTAAAAAGCTCCGCGGCAGCAGGGCTCTGGGGGTGGATGAGATTTGCCCTGATTTCCTTAAGGCTCTGGGTGTTGTGGGGCTGTCTTGGTTGACACGCCTTTGAAACATCGCATGGACATCAGGGGAAGTGCCACTGGATTGGCAGACTGGGGCGGTGGTTCCCTTCTTCAACAAGAGACTGGGGGGTGTGCTCCAATTACAGGGGCATCACTCTCCTTAGCCTAAGGTGACC